GTCGGTCTGCCGGGCCCAGTCAGCCTGCGGGACCCAGTTAATCTGCGGACCAAGTTTCCTGTGGGCCCTCTGCTGACCGAAGCGCGTGCGCGCACATATGTACACACCCCCCGCCAGGGCCAGGGTCACAGGAAGGGTGGACTCAGACTTGGGCTTCTTAGTCACATCTGGACGAGAAGGGGTTTGAGAGTGTGGTGCCCCTGAGGCCATTCTAATGAGCACTGGGGGAGCGGAGGCTGGCCGACATGACCTTGCCTTTCACTCCAGCTGCTTCTGCATTTCTCTATTAATGACGGGTTGGAGGAGTCGGACAGCCGAGATGGATTTCGCAGGGAGGTTTTGTGAGTTGATGTTTCCCTCGGTGCCTCCCCTGGCTGTGCCTCCCCCTCCTGTAGTGCTGTTGTCATCGTTTTCCTGAACGGCCTCACTCGATGTCCCCAGCCCCCTCAATCTGCAAATGTGTGCCCTAGCTGGAGAGCGGGAGCCCAGGACCATCTGGTATCTGCTGGCCAAGCAGCTCGAGTAACTAGTCGAACAGCTCTTTGACTAGTTTATACAGGGACACGCTGGTTCTTCGTGTCAGTGTCTCTGTCGATGGCTTTGAGATCAGTGCAGGAGGACGTGGGTGGCTGGGGCTTCTCCGAGTCCAGGACGTTGCCACCTCCCTTCATCCGCCTGCCCAGACCTACCTTGTCCTGACCCAGCACAGCACCCCATGGAGCAGGCGGTGGTGGACTGTGTTTGGGAAGCCATGTGGCCAACCGCTGTTTGGGGTCCCAGCAAGGTCAACCTGAAACATGGCGGGCATGTTCCCAAGACCCCAACACAGTGGAGGACTGGAAGAAGGGGTCATAGCACGACAAGACCCTGCCCGGGGTGCTTCTCCCTCTAGCGTGTGCACACACGGTCGTGAACACAGTAAATAGACACACACACCCCGGAGTTGTTACTGTCACGTCCGCCTCACCGTGCGTGGCTCTTTTCTTTTTTTTGGGGGGGGGAGGTTTTTGCTATAGGGCGCATGTGCTTACCAGAAAGGCAGAGAGAGAGAAAGAGAGAGACAGAAAGCAAGAAATAACCCCCAGAGGGGATGGCCACACCGCAATCCCGTCTCCTCCATTCTCCTCTCAGGATCTTAGGCATGCAAGCACACGTGCCCAGCGTGAGTTTAAGCC